TGAAGTTTAATGTTTTCCTTGGTCTGTGTGAAACATGTTGGAAGTGCCTTATAAATAGGACCAGAGGAGTATCTATATAGATACTCTCTCAACCATAATCAAGTAAAAGAGGAAGGAAGAATATTAAGGAAGATGATTATGTTATTTTAGGAAAAACATATCATATTTTTTATAATTAACTACCTTACCTAACTTCTTTAATATAATCAAATTAGTTAAATATGTTTTATATTAAAGACTGGAGGAGTGTTACTTAACATAATGGATTAGGAATATAAAGAACTTGGTGTAAGAAGCAACTGAAGCAATTATTATTTTACTTTAATATTCCTTCGATACTTAATATAAGACCTAATTATTGAGTTGATTTTGATCTTAAATATAATAATTATTTCTCGTTTTAATCAAATTTTCTTAAGTTATCTATAGGGCTGTGCAAAAACCCGGTAATCCGGTATGGTCCGATCTAACCCGAACAGACCCGGTCCGGTCCAACCCGAACATACCCGGTCCAGAAAAAATTGGCCCGAAACAAGACTGGACCAGACTGGACCAGACTGGTCTCATCGGGCTGGACTGGACTAGGGACTGACCCCTTAGACCAGTTGGTCCAGTCCAGTCTAGCCCGATTTTTTAAAATTATTATTAATATAATTTTAATTTGATTTAATTTTTCTATATAAATTTTTTATCTATTCAAATAATTAAGATTTATCTATTAACTTTCGAAGTAATGAGCATGCATATATATTTTCTACAATTTAAGATCTATATTGAAGAGGATTAATTAATAAAACATGACTTCATTGGGAAATTGAAAAGGAATGATCAAATTTGATAAATTTTGAATTAAAATATGTGCAAAATTTTATATAGTAAGTTACAATTTTGCCTCCTATTGAAGAAAATTTTTTTTAAAAAAATTAAAATTAGGTCTGGACTGCCTGGACTGGTCCAGGCAGTCCAGAGGACCAAGTCCAGTCCAACCCGACCTCAGGTTGGCACTGGACTGGACCAGACCTCGGGCTGTTTTTTTCAGCCCGAAGTCTTTACTGGACCAGACTTCGGGTTGATAACAAACCCGGTCCAGTCTAGTCCATGCACACCCCTAGTTATCTATATAGATACTCTCTCGACCATAATCAAGTAAAAAAGGGAAAAGGGATATTAAGAAAGATGATTATGATATTTTATAAAAAAACATGTCATATTTTTTATAATTAACTAACTTACCTAACTTTTTTAATCTAATCAAATTAGTTAAATAGATCTTATATTTTCTTAAGGTATTTTGCCAGTTGGACGCAGCACTTTTTGACCTTTGGTTTTTGGGAAAATTAGGGAGAAGGACCAATAAAAGATTATATTTATTAGGGAGAATCTTAAAAAGTGTAATTATTCAGGAGGACTAAATATCAATATATAAATTTTAAAATACTAAAATACTCCCAATTAAATCTCCTATGATTTCTCTAACCACTAACTTTACAACCTATTTTTCATTAACAAAAATATTTCTGCACTGTTGTTTTACTTTTATATCCATATTTTTGTGATCTCAATTTTCAGGTCTAATAACAAAAAATAATTAAATACTGTTCACATAAAATACATTTAGCCGAAACTATAACCTCACTCCATCTATGCTCAATTGATTGTAAACCCCAAAAGAAATTATAAACGAAATACTTGCAAGTGTGAAGTTTAAAAATTGAAATAACAAAAAAAGCAACATACTACAAAAAGTATTAATAAATCACATAGATTATGACACTAATATTATGTAACACATTAACTTGAGGAATCCCAAAATTAATCTCCATATATTATCCGAATGCAATTAGACTCGCTGTATTAATTGGCGAGGTCTATACAATATTATTGTCATTATTAATGATCTTATAATGGCACAAACCATGAATTAACAACGGTTGGTACAGGGCAATGAAAAGTATTAGTGGTGTGAATCTATATTGAGAAATGAGAGGAGTGAGAGAGAGATTCACCTGTATGAGGTATTAAAGATTTAATAATTAAATTAAATCAAGGATTTAATTTAAAATTTAAAAACAGTGGTTAGAGGAAAGATAGGAGATTTGGTTAAGAGTGCTTTCATATTTTTAAAATTATATTTTAATATTTGATCCTCCTAAATAATTACACTTTTTAAGATTCTTCCCAATAAATATTACTTCTTGCAGGTCCTTCTCCTTAATTTCCCTTGGTTTTTCTTTCGTCAGTTTCTTTCTCAAGCGTGTTTTTTGAATCACGATTCCCCTTCGTGAGGAGGCACTCAGTACGACCGTAACGGCTGACAGTGGAGAGCCAAGGGGAAAAAGGAAAAAATAGGGCTATAACTATCAGAATATAATGATATCTTTATAGATATCTATATATCTCTTTTTATTTTCTATATCTCCTATAATATCTAATATCTCTCATTATCTCTATATCCTACAATTATCTCATATTATCATGTAATTTATAGATTCTATCAAAGATGTAAAGTTGTGCCTATAAATAGAGGCCATGTATAATGTATTGTGTACACTTGAATGGAATGAGAAATACTCTCTCTTCTTGATCCTCTCTTCCTCTGTATGATTTTTCTCTATTTCTTCTTTATTCATAACACAGATTTATTTAATCCTCTGAACATTTATTTATAACTATCAGATTCAATCCTCAAATCAAATCTCAGCATATGAATTATTTTTAATAAAAAAATTCATATTGATAAAATTTTAAAATAATATTAAACTGTTATTAAAAATAAAAATTGTATACGGCAGTTGTTAAAGGGAGAATTAGATATAATAAACATCAATCAAAATAAAAAATATTTTATTTTATTTCATTATTAAAAAATTATAATTAATGCAAAATGTATTTTAAGTTTTTAACTATTTGCATTTAAAGGCCAACAACCTTTCTGTCCAAAAAAAAAAAAAAAAGGCCAACAACCTGTGCAGGGACGTAGCCTTTGAGGATATGCACAGACCGAAAGGGGACCAGATGGGACGTGAATGTGATGGGGATGAGGGGCGGGAAATTTCACATATAGAATTACCGACCCTCCTTTGTAATAAAAATATAAAATATACTCTATTGTATAGTTTATGGGAAAAATCTTAGAATAATACTTTTAAAATTTTTAAATCCCAACTTAGAATTTATTATAAAAGTATGTTATTATTTTCTTTTTAAATATAGTCAATTGTTATTAAGATGTAATAAATAAAATTAATTTAAAATTTTAAAATTTAAGAAGTATTTTTTTTTGGGATTTTTCCTATGTGCACACACCTTTGCTTAATATATAATTTATTAACCAAAAAATTTATTCCTTTATATTTTTTTCACATTATTTATAAGTGGAAAGATATTGAATTATTAATTTCATTGTCCCCATTAAATACTTGATGTAGTAGAATAAATAATTTAAACACACGCAATTCAGACAAAGGTTACCATAGTTTGAGATACTGAAAAAATACTTGCTCTTTTTCTGTGTGAAAAAAGAAAATTCTGCCTTCACTAATTTTGCCCAAAATGACCTAGTATCTGGGTAAAGGAAGGCAGCAAAAGGATGGAGGCCGAATTCATCTAAAACTCTTTGGATAACTGCCCAAACCAAATATTGCTAAACTCCAAGGAAAAAGCTAAAATCATGGTTTTTATAGAAGCAAAAATTATTTGCTTTTTTTTTTTTTAAAAAAAAAAAGGAGAGTGTCAAAGCCTACATGAAGCAATGTGCCTTTTTTTTTTTTGACCCAGATGGATATACTCCTCCCCAATTATTTATCTCTTGTCTTTATTCTCTTCCGCCTTCGGTCCTTCGGTCCTCATAATCCATTCCTCCTTAAAGAATGTTTAAAGATTTCATGTTTAATCTTTGAAGAAAATTAATATTTTTCTGTTAGCGAAAAAAAAATCATTTTGTATAAACATATTTAATCTTATGTTTTTATAAATATATATACATATATTAATTATATTTTCTTATATATTATTAATTATGTTGGTAAAAAATATATTATCAACAAATTTATTTCTTCAAATTCAAATATATTATAAAATCTATCTTTTATGTAATTATCATATTAACTTATGTCTTTTTTAGTAATTTATATATATAAAAAGTACTTCTGAATTATCTCAACACTCTCACTTTCTTAGAATTATTTTTTTACAAAATCTATTCTATCACAAATCTATTTTTCAGAAACTATTTTTTAAATCATAGTTTGGTTTTATTCAAACACTCCCTAAAAAGATGGTTGTAAATGCCTCGTAGCATAGACATGAGAGAGCGAGTCTATCTAAGCGGGGAAAAAAAAGCTATCAAATCACACAACTAAAATTATGCAATGGGTTTATTTAATTTAGAACACTTAAATTAGCAAAATGTATCAGAATTATGTACTACTTTTAATTCTTAATATAAAAACTAAATAATTAATTTAAAAATATTAAAAAAAATTAGTTAGGGGAGTGTTTGGATATAAACAAAACTATAATTTTAAAAGTACTTTTACGATATGCGAAGTAAATATGTGAATGAATTTATCTTAATTTACAAAAAAATGCTTTTAAAAAGCACTTTTGCATAAAACAAAATAATCATCATATATTTATTTTGCATACTATAAAAGTACTTTTAAAGCATGATTTAGTTTTTACCTAAACACCTTCTATTTTGACTTTTTAAAACCATTTTTTTAATCATGTATATTGGACATATTCTTTAATAGAAACTTCTTGTAATCATATTTTGAAATGTTATAACTAAGATCAAATTTAATTTCTTGACAAGCTACTATAATCTTACTCCGTGAAATTCAACCAACCAATATATCATCTCACACGTGTGAAAAGAAATCGTGCCGATTCCCATGTGGCGATTTGTTTTGGGGCATATCACATTGCAAGAAACAAATATGATATTCCTGAAAAAAACTGACTACTTTAAATGAGTCTTCCACTCTTCCCTTCTTTCCCAAAGCCACAAGACAAAAGCTGTTTTGCCTGCAAGTCGGATTAAAGCCCACCATTGATTCTCTGCTAACAAGGTCTTTCTATTTCTCTCTGATCTTTACTTTCTGCATACGTTTCACTTGCCTTTTTCACTGTGTTCTTTGTGTTGAACGTCCTTTTCTATTTGTATTCTGCAGTACTTGCTCAGTGATTTCAGCACTTCAATCACTCACGATTCCAGAACCATGGCGTTCCTTCTGTTCATGTTCTAGTTCATCCTTGTTTACCGTCTAGTTTTCCTGATCTCAAGACGGAAAGTCATTCTTCTACACCAGAAGAAAATCCCCCCCAAACAAAAAGCAAAAGAAAAAAAATCCCAAAAAAAAGCAAAAACAAGAAAACACAAAAAGAGAGACAGAAGAATGGAGTTTGTAACAATTATGATCTTTCATTGGAAGTTGAATAATTGAAGTCTTCCCTCCTCCGCTGTTAGCCCCAAGAAACGGGACGCTGCTTCCTGCAGGTCAGACCGGCGAACCACTGTTCTTTGATAACAAGGTCTTCCCATTTCACTCTGATCTTTATTTTTTGAATATACATCACTTGCTTTTTTTTTTGTATTTCCAGGTAAGTATTTTCTTGACGCATTCACTAGCCTCAAGACAAGCGACGCTGCTGTGCCTGCGAGTCGGACCCAACCACCGTTCTTTGCCAACACAGGTCTTTCTATTTGACTCTCATCTTTATTTTCTGGATATATATATATATATATATATATATATATCACTTGCTTTTCTTCTTGTGTTCTTCATGTTGATCATTCCTTTGTATGTGTCTCCTGTGTAGTACCTACCTGCTTGGTGATTTCACTTCACTCACTCACGATTTTAAGATCATGGCATCTAAATTTTTCGTATACATATATCTATATATATATATATATATATATTTTACTAGTATGTATGCGTTTTTCTGAATATATTCCCAAACCATGAGAAAAGGATCTTTATTTTTTGAATATATATCACTTGCCTTTTTTTTTTTTCCTCAGGTGAGTATTTTTTTTAACACATTCGGTGGGCTAAAGTATTTTAAGATGAATCCAATATTCAGAAATAGTTTTTTAAAGTGCATACCCTAAAATATTTTGTTGATGCATTTAACAATTTAAACTATTTTTTTGGTGTGTTCATCATAAAATATTTTTTAGTGTATTCAGCATTAAGGCAAAAAATTATTTTAAAGTGTTAGAAGAATAGAGGCACCTTTTAAAATATTTTAGAGTGTTAGATGTATCCGGAAAAAAATGAGAAAATTATAGAGAGATCCCAAAGAAAAAAAATAATTATAAAACAATTCTTAGAAGTTGTCATTTACTAGTCTGAGACTTGTTATTACAAGTTGTTTATATTGTTATTAGGACTTCTTAATAATTATTTTTTGAGACCTCGCTATAATTCTCCCTCAGAAAAATATTTTAAATTGTTGGGTGCAATTTAACTTTTTATTTATTTATTTATTGTGTTTTTCATGTTAATCATCCCTTTGTATTTGTCTTCTGCGTAGTACTTTAGTATTTCATCATTTCATTCCCTCACGATTTTAAATTCACGGCATCTAGATTTTCCATATATTTTACTAGAATTTATGCGTTTTTATAAATTTATAAAGCAATTAGCATTCTTTTTCTAACAATCAATACCCTTAATATTAACAAAGTACACTTATGGTAGAGAGGGATCAAGAGAGATGACTATCTTTTTTTTTTTTGGGTGAAAGAGATGACTAAAATTGAGTTAGAACTTTTTGCAAATATTGGATAGTCTCCTGATGTATTATTTTCTACCATATTCTCAACTAGCTCCAGTGACTCAAAAGTAGTATATTTCTTAGAATTAAAACTGGTGTGAAATCAAATCCTTGACAAATCTTTGCAAAAAATTCTCCAATCCAATCTATTACTTCGTAGCTTATCTAACATATGAAGATTTTTTTTTTCAAGTGTGTGTAGCACTTTGAAATATTTTTTTCAAGTGCATTCAATATTTTAAAATATTTTGTGGTTTAATTTTATCTTTAAAATACTTTTCAGAAGCAAGTTTAATTTTATTATTAACTCCCAAAAGGTCCGTTGAGTAAAGTATCTTTCACGTTTTCAGTATTGAAATAAGGCTTAAGGTTGAAAACATAACAAGATAAGTCTAGAAAATACTTAAAATGATTACTGAAAAATTGCAAAACTAATTATTAAAAGTGTTAAAAATGAATACTAAAAATATGAAAGATAACTACAAAACATATGAAAAATAGTGATAAAAAAATTAACTCAAAAAAAATTTTTAAGAATAAAATTGTATGACAAAATATTTTAAGATATTGGAAATATCTAAAAAAAAATATTCCAAGATAGATTAATCCAAGATAAATTATTAACTGCCAACACTGTTTTGGTGGCTCCCCGATCTGGGTAGGCTTAAAGACAGAAGGGGCTTTGGTCTTTCTATCTTTTCATTGTACATACCAAGTGAAAAATGCACCCGATTTACATATGTACTGAACATTTTCTTTTTGGCAAAAAGTTTACTTTTGGTCTTTTCTAGATACTTTAATTTTATAAGGTTCTTTCTAACCTTCAAACCACAGTACTTTTAGTTTTATTAATAACCAATGTCGCCATTACAAATTTAAATATTAACAAAACATTCATAAATGGCGACATGTTATGTTTAATTTTTTAAATTAATAATGATTGGCACAAAAATTATCATTTGAAATTAGTGTTATTAGAGTTTGAAAAATTGAAAATATAATGCATGAAATTAAGGTACTAAACCAAAACATTGTCTAAAATTATAGAACTAAATATGCACCCTTTTCTATTTTAAAACGTAATTTTTTTAGCCAAAATTAAAAACCAATGAAATGACACAAGTACTAAAGGTATATTTTAATCTTAAACTTTTAACAGTGGTTGGGTTGGGTTGAATTGACCCAAAAAATTTGATTGTTTTTAAATGAGGTTTATGGTTTGAACTTTGTAAATAAAATTTAAATATAAATCATGTCAAATAATCATAACATGCAAATTTAATAATAGATTTTTAAGATAATATTACTTCCGATCCTAATTATAAGATCTCAATTGTAGATTATAAACAAGGTATTATAATTAGAAGTGGAGGTAGTAATTTTTTGTTTCAAAACAATTGATGACGGTAATCCAATCCAAAAGCATTCTATAAGAAAAATTCTTTTAATTTACCTTTTAAGCTAAAAATAGACTCTACAGTCTTACTTATAAAAGTGCCAACCATATTTGCATGTGACCAATTGCCCTCGGCGAAAGAGAATCAACTCACTCGGAGTAATTCTTCCGTGAAAAATTGTGGGAAAAATTAATTTGCAAGTCCTCATAATTTTAACAAAATTTTAATCACATCTATGTAATTTTTTAATCAGGTTTTTATAGTTTCATTTAATTTTTAATCAGATGCATGTAAATGTTTTTTCAATCAAATCTTTTACTGGACTTTCATTGCTGGTCGTGGAGGTAAGAGTTTTTTTCCCATTAAAAGAGGGGCAGTAAAATTAATTCACCAAATTCTGAAATCATATTTTATTCCTCTGGATGTGTCTATCATTTTGCATGTTGGGTGACTGATTTCGGTTTTGAATAATTCAGGGATATTCAACTGTCTTTTTCATTATATATAACCTATTAACTAAACATTTTATTCTTTTACTTTTTTTTTAATAGTTGAAAACTATTGATATAAATTTATAAAATTATATTATTTATATCTCACTAACAGTATAATTTTCTCGAATTTTTAGGTAATTCTTAATTTTTTAATCTATATATTTATTATGTGCCAGTTTGTTTTGAGTTATTCATTGTTAACTTATTTTAACAATTCAAATCAATATGAATGAACAATTATACCAATGAAATATAAATTGTTATAAGATATAAAATTTACAAATAACTTATGTTATTTATGATGACTAACGGTATAATTTTCTGGAATTTTTATTTTTATTTTTATTTTAATTTTTCATATATTTTCTTAGAATGTGCCAGTTTTTCATATTTATTCCCAAACAATGGAAAAGAGAGGGGCTTTTAAGCTATGACAATTCACTCAGACCAAAATGAATATACACAGACATATCAGACTCTGATCAGAAATAGAAGAGAAAGGCAGCCCATCTCTATGTGATGATTTGTAATTTGTTTTATGGCATCATGTTCCCGGTACCAATTTTCGACGTCTTCCCTCCTCCATTAGCTATTTCTGTTTAATCTTTACTTTATGAACATGTATCACTTGCTTTTTTCACTGCGTTCCTCATGTTGATCACCCCTTTGTATTTTGTCTTCTATGTAGTACTTGCCCAACGACTTCTATGCAAAACCATGGCATTCCTTCCGTTAATGTTCTAGTTCATCCTTGTTTACCGCCTAGTTTCCTATCTCAAAAAGAAAGTTATTCTAGTGTACCATAAGAAAACAGAGAGAAGAAAACCAAAAAGAGAGAGAACACAAGAATGGAGTTTATAACGACCATTTTTGGGACAGTGTTCAATGGTATGGTAGAACCTGTTAAACGACAACTAGGTTACCTTTGCAACTACAGAAGCAATGTTCAGGAGCTACGAAGCCATGTAAAGAAGCTCCAAGATCAAAAGGCGAGCGTGATAGATCGACTTGGAGAAGTTGAAAGAAATGGTGAGAACATTCACGATGTTGTCACCAATTGGTTGACGAAGACAAGTGAGAAGATTGCAGAAATTGAGGAGTTTCAAAGCAATGAAGGCCACCAGAAGACGGGTTGCTCCTATGGCTCATTTCCTAACTTGAAGATAAGGCATAAGCTTGGTCGACAAGCAGGGAAGATGATCCCACAGTGTGTTGATCTGTTCCAACAAGCAAACTTTGTTACTGTTTCTTCTCGTCCAGAGCCAGAAGCATTAGATGTTGCTCTTTATGATGATGGTTATGAGCCGTTCAAATCAAGAGATGCCATTGCAGAGCAGGTTATGAAAGCGCTAGGTGATCCCACAATTAAAATGATTGGTATCTATGGGCAGGGAGGTGTCGGCAAAACCACTTTAGTTAAAGCAGTTGCAACGAAGGCAAAAGCAGAAAAGCTATTCAACGTTGTGGTTATGGTAAATATTACGAGCACTCCTGATATAAGAAAGATTCAAGGAGAGATAGCAGACATGCTAGGCTTGAGATTGGATGAAGAGAGTGAGATTGGAAGAGCGGGTCGTTTAAAACAGAGATTCAAGAAGGAGAAGGAGAACACCTTGGTCATCTTGGATGATCTTTGGGCTGGACTTGACTTGAGTCTGTTGGGAATTCAATTGAAGGATGATGATCAGAAGACAATTCCAAATATGCCTAATATTGGTTATGACCAGTTGAAAGACGACAAGATGGCAAGTGATCCCAAAAAGTTCAAGATTTTGTTGACTTCTCGACACATAGAGGTATTGTCAAGTGAAATGGAAGTAAAGGATTCAATTTTTAAAGTGGATGTCATGGAGGAAGAAGAATCAGAGATGCTGTTCAATAAGGTGGCTGGAATAACTGATGAAGATTCTGAGTTGAAATCAATATCAACTAAAATTGTTCTTAAGTGTGCAAATTTGCCATTGGCAATAGAAGCAGCTGGAAAAGCTTTAAAGAATAATAAGAACAAAGTTGCTTGGGAAAATGCACTACAACGATTGGAGAAGCAAGAAATGATTGAAGTATTAGAACCTGTGGAGTTTTCTACGATGTTAAGTTATGATCACTTACAAAGTGAGGAGCTGAAGTCTATTTTCTTGCTTTGTGCTCGCTTGGGTAAGGATCTGTCAATTATGTATTTGGTGAAATATTGCACTGGTTTAAGGATATTCCAAGAAGTCAACACCATGAAAGAAGTTCGAGGTAGAACAAATGAATCTATCGAGAAGTTAAAAGGCTCAAGCTTGTTGCTGGATACTAACTCTCCTGATTGTGTTGCTATGCATGATATGATCCGTGATGCCGCCTTATCAATAGCTTACAAGTATAATGGTGTTTTTACCCGAAGAGATGCTGAACTTGATGAATGGCCTGATAGAGAAACATTTGAAAAGTATACTGTTATCTCCTTACACTGCTGTGACATCATTGATGGGATTCCAGAAGGTATAAATTGCCCTCAGCTCAAAGTCTTCCATCTTGATAGTAAGGATCCTTTCATAAAAATACCAGACAAGCTTTTTGAAGGAATGAAAGAATTAAGAGTGTTAATATTGACTGGTATTGGTCTATCAAGCTTCCCTTCTTCAATTAAATGCCTAATAAAGCTTAGAATGCTTTGTTTGGAGAAATGTGTGCTAGGTGACAACATATCAATCATTGGTGAGTTGAAGACGTTGAGAATTCTAAGCCTTTTGGGATCTAAATTTGAATTATTGCCCAGTGAATTAAGGCAACTAGGGAGGCTACAATTGTTGGACATCAGTTCCTGTACTAAACTTAAAGTGATTCCATCTAATGTCATGTCAAAGTTGAATAGGTTGGAAGAGTTGTATATGGGAAAAACCTTGATCCCATGGGGTGTTAAAAGAAAAACAAATCACAATGAAATTGCTAGCCTTGCTGAATTGGAATCTCTTCAACAATTGAGAAATCTTGATATACACATAGAAGATATTACAACTTTGCCTAGTAGCTTGGACTTTGACAAGTTGGATAGCTATAAAATTGTGATTGGAGACTCTAAGATGCTTTTGTTGGAAGATTTTCAGATGTCTTGTCAATACAAGGCTTCAAGAGTCTTGGCATTGCATCTAAAAAAGGATATTGACATTCATTTGCAAAGATGGGTTAAAATATTGTTGAAAAACGTTGAACAATTGCTTTTGGGGGAAGTAGATGGTCTTCAGAATGTTACCTATGAGTTAGATGTTGAAGGATTTCAAAGCCTTAAGCATTTAACCATTGAAAAAAATTGTGATATCAAGAATATAATCTACTCAACAAAGTGGGAACATCAAGTGAAGGCTTTTCCCCAGTTGGAGTCAATGTGTTTGTACAAATTGGAGAGCCTAGAGAAAATATGCAATTGTCAACTCGGAGATGTCTCTTTTCAAAGTCTAAAAACCATGAGGATCAACATTTGTGGCAGACTAAAATATCTCTTCTCATTGGACATGACCAGACTTCTCGAAAAGCTTGAAACACTTGAAGTTTCTGAATGTGATTCTTTGGAGGATCTTGTTTTTGCGGAAAGGCAAGAGAATATTGGTAATGATACAGAAGATGATAGAATTTCATTTCCTCAATTACGCTATTTGACATTGCAATCTTTATCAAAATTAACATGGTTCTACGCAAATGACAATATGGAGAGTCTCCCAGGTTGTATTCCGTTCTTTAATACAGAGGTATGTATGCAATGAACTGTCAATACATATATTTCTCTTTACTTTTTAATTTATACACTTTAAATTATATACACTTTAAAATCAGGGGAGATGGCATGGCCTTTAAAGTTTTACTTTCTTACAAAACTTGACTCATGAAAATCATAATTAGTAACTTTGGAGTTTGGAATTTGTTGTGAGCTTTTTACAGGTTTCAATTCGCAAGTTAGAGAGCTTGGAGTTGTCCTCAATCAATATCAAGAAGGTGTGGGATAGCCAACCGTTGCCAAGTTCCTCCTTTGAAAATTTGACCAAACTGAATGTGAATGATTGTGGTGGTTTAAAATATTTATTTTCATTACCCATGGTTGGGAATTTAATGAAATTGCAAAGCCTTTTTATAAGTGGATGTGATATGATGGAGGATATTTTTGACCCAGAAGACATTAACATAGATGAAGCAAGCCAGGTATGCACCTCCATGGGGTTTGATTAGACACAAAAACTAGGTATTATTTTGCTTTTGTTATTTTGGTCACAAAATGACTGCTTTGATTCATACACAGGAGGTTGACATCCTTCCTCAATTGAAGAAAATTGAAATCACCAACATGGAGGTATTGAAAACTATATGGCATGCCCGAGCTAGCAAAAATTCCTTTTGCAGTTTGAAATCTGTGATAATTGGAGACTGCCGCAAACTAGTCACTATTATCCCTCCTTACATGGTAGGAAGATTTCATAATCTTGGCATATTGGAGGTTATTGATTGCAAGTCAGTGGAAGAGATATTCAACTTCTGCCAGCCTATACCACAACTAAGTGGTGAGAATCAAACAAGCTTGCGAGTTGTTAATTTACGAAGGCTACCAAAATTGAAGCATGTGTGGAACAAGGATCCTCAAGGACTTGTGAACTTTAAAATTCTGCAAGACGTTTTAGTCTTTCACTGCCCAAGCCTAGAAAATCTGTTTCCATTTTCTATTGGCAATGATCTTACGAAACTGGAGAAGCTTGAAATCTTGTATTGTGATGGCATGAAGGAAATTGTAGCTAAAGGTGACATATCAGATATAAGCAACTTAGTGTTTGAGTATCCTAGGCTAAACAAACTTAAATTATTCCATCTACCAGAGCTAAGGTGTTTCTATCAAGGAACACATGCTATAGTGCTCCAAGCATTGACTTGTTTGTTCCTTGGTTATTGTGACAAGCTGGAAGCATTTGGTACTGAAACAACGCATTCCGAAGTGAAACCAATTCTCTCATCTTTAGCAAAGGTACAATAACAATCATTGACAAGATATTTGGAAGTAGAAATAAATTTCTAAAAAGTAATATATGTACTTTACTCACACTTGTGTCTCATTCTTTCCTTTTTCTTTGTATGATGGCGAAAAAGTACATATGCATGTATCCAAGATTTTCTTAATTTAATTAATATAAATGTTTAATTTCTTCTTCTAAAATTGTACTTTTTCCCATGATGATTTTTAGGTGATATCCAACTTGGAGGTACTAGGAATATACGGGCTGAAGGAAAGGAAGTGGTTGCAGGACACCATCGGCAATAATGTTTATCTAGTGCACAACACAAAAGATCTATACTTTGATGGAGTGGGCGGCATCGAAATTCTCTTTTGGTTTCTCCGCATATTTCCTAACCTAGAAAGCTTAAATTTGTCCAATTCTATTCTCAAAGAGGCGTTTCCTGATGGAAGTCATGTTTTCCTAGAGAAAATTGGAACTGTCGTACAACTTAAAAACATGAGTTTATGCCATTCAGATACTCCATTGAATATAGGCTTTGAAAATGGTGCCATTCTTCAAAGAGTTGAGAAGTTATGCATTGTGGAATGTTACTATTCGACAACCTTAATTCCCTCCTCCCTAGCGTTGACTCACTTGTCATATCTTGAAGTCAGCAATTGCAACAGATTAAGGAATGTCTTGACATCATCAACTGCAAAAACGTTAGTTCAACTGACCATGATGAAGGTCTCTCAATGTGCAATGATGGAGGAAATTGTTACAGTAGAGGAGAATGAAGAAGTGAAAGAAGATGAGATTGTTTTTGGCAAATTGAGAAGTTTAGAACTTGTGTCTCTAAGAAACCTCACAAGTTTTTGTAATTCCCAATGTAAACTTGTCTTCAAGTTTCCGTTACTTGAAGAGGTGAAAGTAAGCGATTGCCTCAAGTTGAAAAAATTCTCCGAGAAAATTTCAAGCACAAACTTAGAAAAAGTTGATATTGTAGAAGGAGAAGAAGAAGAAGAGGGAAAGAAATGGTACTGGGAAGGTGATTTGAATGCAACAATCCAAAAGATTTTCACGGACAAGGTATCTACTATTGTACTTTAACATGAATGTATGAATTCTGACTAATATGGTTATCAGCTTTTGATAATTTTGATTTCTAAATAAAAATTTTATGGTTTACTCTTTTATTTTGTTACCTTTTTTTCCTGGTCTATGCAATCATCGTACTTCTTCAGTCTCTAAATTGCATATCCCCTTCTAAAGTTATCACTCTGTTCTTTGAAATATTATAATCAATTATCCAAGTCAAAGAAAAGATTTTTAATTTTGTAATAAAAAAATGGCATTCTTGTTACTTTATTGAGATTAGCTCAATGACGTCTAAATTTATTTCATTTTGTAGGTTCTTTTGGAGTTCTGTCGAAATATCGAACTTTCTTGTTATCCTGAGTTACAACAATTGTGGCGAGAAGAAATTTCCCTGCCAAACAATTGCTTTAGCAATCTGAGAACATTGATAATAAAGAATTGTTCATTTCTATCAGAAGTGTTCCCTTCTAAGTTACTTTCTTACTTTAAGAACTTGGAGGAGTTACAAGTAAGCTCGAATCCAGTGGAGGTTATTTTTGATATTGATGGCAACAGTTTGATAGAGACGAAGGGAAAGTCGTTTCATTTGAAAACAATGACTTTAGATGACTTGCAGAATTTGAAGCGTATATGGAGCAAAGATCCTTGTAGTATTATGAGTTTTCTGAATCTGAAAGAAATTATTGTTTCTAATTGTGCGGGTATAAAAACTCTTTTTCCAGCATCTTTGGCAAGAAATCTGGAGAGACTCAAGAAACTTGAAATAAGACAATGTGATGCTTTGGAAGAAATTGTTGGGAAGGAAGAAGCAGCAGCAGAGGGAGCTAGCAGAAAATTTGAATTCCATTCTTTAAACGCCTTGACTATGTGTGCTTTACCAAGGCTCAAGTTCTTTTATCCTGGAAGATACACTCTGGAATTTCCCAGCTTGGTGAGTCTAAGCGTGTTTGATTGTAACAAGTTGGAAATATTTGCGTCAGATTTTCGAAGTTGCCAAGGAGCAGTAGGATGTGAGGATGAAGCTAATATTACAGCTAGTCGACAATCTCTTTTCATGGGTGGAAGGGTAATTTAATCTTCATTTCCATCATTCCCTTACTTTCTTTTTCTTGTATTGTGAAAAGGAAATATGTTTTTACGCAATCCTCATTCTTATTCTTTCTTGTGTGTTTTCACTGATAGGTTATTCAGAACTTGGAATTTTTAACTCTCAATGGGAATGATATGATGATGTTATCACATGGTCATTTTCCTGATAACCTGCTTCACAAACTAAAAACTTTGCAGCTGCACTTTGGTGATTCCTATGAAGCAGGAGCTACTTTGCCTTTTAAATTCTTTCAGAAGGTACCTAATTTAGAAAGTCTTATGGTAAGCAATTGCAATGCATTGGATGAGATGTTCCCCTCTCAAAGACCCAAAGATATTGATCATATCATCAATATTCTTGCACAAGTGAGAGAATTAGAGCTCGATTCGCTGCCTTTGCTCTCATCCATTGGGTTAGATTACTCCTGGGTGGACTCAATTGTTAAGAATCTGAGAGCGCTTCGAATGAGGAATTGCCCTCGTTTGACTACTCTGGTGCCTTCTTCTGCAGTATCATTTTGCAATTTGAAAGAATTGAGAATAGGGCAATGCCACGGGTTAGTTTCTCTGTTCTCATCTTCAGTGGCCAAGAGGTTGGTGCGGCTTTATCGAATGGTGATAGCTGAATGTGGATCAATGACGCATATAGTGAGTCATGACCTTGATGAATCAGATTCTGATGAGATAATATTTGAAAGGCTTGAATATATAGCTTTGAGTGATTTGCCAAGCCTTGTGAGCTTCTATTCAGGGCATGCCACTTTAGAATTCTCTGCTCGGATAGTGTCTGCCATCGAACAATGCCCAAAGATGAAATGTTTCTCTCAAGGGATTGTAAGAGCGCCCAACCTCATAGGAATAAAATATACAAGGGACAACGAATATGATTGGCACAACTACAGTGATCTCAACACCACGATGGAGAAATTGTTCAATGAGAAGGTAATAAGTATTCATTCCCCAGCATAATTACGTACACGTATGACCATAATGACAATTTTAATCAGCATACAATCTGGTTCCCATTTTTAATTTCTTATTTTTAACTGACTGTTAATTTTTAATTAACTTATTATAATTATTATAATTTCATAGAAAAACATTTTTGAATTAGCAAATGACAAATAAATAGGAGTTGAATATCATTATAATTATATCGACTTAAAATACTTTTGCATTCTTTAGACGCCGGAGCTATTCTAGTTAAGAATAATTGTATATTTTTTCCGGTCACTTGGAGAAAACTGTAACAATCTTATATTAGTCAAAACAATACCCCAAGTTAACACAGCAACTAATTAACATTTATATTTTCAAAGTTAGTAACTTTTATACAATCAAAATAATTCTAATACATATTTTCAAAATCTCTGATTTCTAATATATTATAAGATTTGTTAATTTGTTTATATATTTATTTTACAAAACTTTACAATTCTAATTTTTCGTCACATTTGCTGAATTTTATTTATTTAATTTCTTTTAAATGGTTAAACATATATTTCAGCACATATTTTTATTTATCATACTGTATAAATTATTTGAATTTATAATTTAAAATTTTAAACACAGTTTTTGCTATGAACATTTACAAAACTTAATTAGTTAAGTATAATTATAATTCCTAATGTCTCATTATGCAAGCAATAATTATTTTAAATAGCCATATTTTTACTCTTTTATGAGTATCTTGAATTAATAATTTATTATGTTTACATATTTAAAACAATGAAGCGAGCAAGTTATTTTATTTAGTTTTTAAACTAACAACATCAACAAACTAATAAAACACTACACCTGTTCAACTCTCCTTACTGATGCTTCTATTTCTATTGGTTTTCATTCAAATATTTGAACTATATATCTTATATGTTTTCTTTTTTTTTTTTTGGGGCCATTTCAAGCTTGATAGATGCAAAGCCATCTCTTTTTCCCTCATGTATAATCATTATGCATCATGTTAATTCCCGTTTAATCTCATATTCGTCTCAACATTTTCATCTCGACTGCTCCAATTTTTTGCTCTCACCTTTCCACCATTCTTTCCAACATAACATGAAGGCCTAATATTCATGGCCAGATGGCATCATTGGTCTCGTAAATATTTGATAAAAATTTCCTCTAAAATTGGCGAGTATTTTTCTGTCACAAATAATTATTAATTCCTTCCTCTATCTCAACTACCCAACTTGTATCTTATATGCAAAACATGTTGGCCAATTTCTTATTTATTTTGCAATGTAAATCCTCGTTATGTTGCATTTTGACACTTGTATAAAATGAGTTTAATTAAGCTGAGTGTATGAATTTTCTTGTAGAGGAAAGCCTAACTTTTTACTATAGAAATGAAAATGGCGAAACTATGTAATATCTCTTTTTTTTTTTTTTGGCAAGTATAATATTCATTTAAATCTCAACAGAAGTTGTGGGGAAAAAGTCGGTGGTGAGAAGTGACAGTTGGCTGATAAACTAAAGTGATATTAATTATTTATGATTTGCACATATAAATACCATGAAAGTCACAGAAATAACTAACCGAACTGTTTTGCTCGAGCAGCTTGAACAATTAACATGTGGCGTGCGAGATTTAAAGCTTGGAGATTGCCCTGAGCTTGAAGATATATGGCATGGTGCAATGTCAGTCCCAAATGGAGGCTTCAGCCATCTGAAGACTTTAATAGTGGATGGCTGCCCATTTTTATCACATTATGTTATCCCTTTTCATTTGCTTGGTTCCCTTAGTAACTTGGAAGATTTAAAAGTGCAGAATTGTGATTCCATAAGGGCAATATTTGAGGTTGAGTCCTTGTCCACTGCTCTCTCTTTTCCACTGAAAAGTATGACATTGGAAGAGTTACCCAATCTGGAGCAAGTTTGGAATGAGGACCCTCGAGAAATTCTCAGCTTTCAATCTCTGCAACATGTGTATATTCAAGGATGCAGAAGCCTCAAGAGCTTGTTTCCAACATCGATGGCCCAAGGCACACTTGAAAGCCTTGAAATACTAGAAGTCCAATGTTGTGAGGGATTAGAAGAGATTGCTGCACATGAAGAGACTGCCTTGGAGGAATCTGCCGGAAATTTAGCTATCTTCCCTAGCTTAACTGGGTTGAGGCTATGGAAATTACCACAGCTCAGGTGCATCTGTTCAGGACTAAGCAATGTGGAATGGCCAAAGTTAAAAGAATTGGATGTATTTCAATGTGGTCAGCTCAAGAATATTGGATTGGAAGCCAAGGTAATGCTCCTGTTATAATTTTTTTAAAAAAAAAATTGTATTTAATAAATGTGATGAACATTAATCCTCCTTTATCATTGTCGTTTCCTAATAGTAATATTTTTGATCCTAGGTTTTTCCCAACCTTGAGCATTTGTCACTTTGCAAGGAAGACATTATGGATATTCGGCAAGCGTCATTTCCTGAAAACCTTCTTCAGAGAGCAAAAATCCTCAAATTGCATGGCTTTTTTGATGATTCAGATGTATTTCCATATGGATTCTTCAAAAAGGAATCACTTCCCCATGTTGAAAAGTTTGCAGTGTCTCATAATAATTTCAAGCGGATATTTACCTCTGAAAGATCTGATCTGGATTGCTGTGCTGATGAGTTCTTTTCACAACTAAAAACGTTAGAACTGATTTCTCTATCGAAGCTCAATTCCATTGGATTAGAGCACGCCCCTCTTCCTGGAAACCTTGAAATCTTGAAAGTGACAAGATGTCCCTGTTTGATAAACTTGGCTCCATCCACTGTGTCTTTCTCAAATCTAAGGGTTCTTGATGTGAGTCGTTGTGATGGATTGGTCAATTTATTCACATCCTCAACAGCTAAAAGTTTAGCTTCGCTTGAAGACTTGACAGTTAGTAATTGTGGATCAATGCGAGAAATAGTGGCTAAAGAAGAAGATGAGTCAGATCAACATGAGATAGCATTTGAGAATCTGAAAAACTTGAAGCTCAAGTCTCTCCCAAGTCTTGACAGCTTTTGCACAGGGGCTTACCATTTGAAATTCACATGCTTGGAACGAGTTTCAATATACAATTGCTCCCAAATGAAGGTTTTCTCTGATGCTGATATAGACGCACCAGATAATGTGACTATTGCTTCAAATGGTGATCTCAGAGACATGATAGAGAAGGCTTTTAAGAAGGCAACTTGAGTTATCAAAATTGAAACGTTTTGCGATGTTGTTGGCAGGTAAATAATTTAACCATCCATTTGAAGACCTACTTCTTATTAGGAAATCTACTATTATTAATTTAATATCCATATTTATGCTGATAGTTGTTTTTACTCACACACGCACTATTTAGTTTGTGACATCCTTTACTCAATTCTATTAGTTGTTTCAGGAAATCATCTTTGGGTGCAAGACAGGTTCATTCTGGTTCTGCTTCTCTCATACTACTTTAAAGCCCATTTGTTCAGTAAGTGACGCACTAACAACAATGTTGATGATTAGATGAGAAAAAGTAACAACTCAAAGTAATATGTTTATTCTAACTCGTACTGTCATTGTTTAAATTTTGCAGGTTGAGGTTATTAGGAATCGTCCGTGTGGTTTTCTGATTTGGGTTATTTAGAAACTGAAGACTGTTGTGCATGGTGTTTGTGTTGCAGATTGTAAGTTGTAATTTTCTCCCATCGCTTATCAAGACCAGAAAACTTTTCCAAATCCCATTTGGAGGTTGTGCCATTTGTATTTAAATCCGAGGCTACTTCGAAGCAACTATTTGAATCGCACCGAATGACGTTGTTTAGCTTAAAATATCATTTGCTTATGCCATCAACCATGTCTTTCTGGTAGTTTAGTAGCTGATGAAGTATCAGAGGATTCGTTCAGAACGTCCTCCCTCTGCTTCTTCCTCTGAAATTCTGGTTTCTTTGATTATTTGAGAGACTTAGCTTCCTGCTTTCTCACTTTTGCTTGAGCCTTTGGTGTTTTGGTCAGTTGTGCCGCTTGAACTTTCATTTATCAGCATTTCCTGTGACTCGAAGGAAGCTTGATAATCATTCAAACTCATTGTGCCAGGGTCTTTAATTAGACTCTTCAATAGCTGTTATCACATTCTGGGTTCATCATTTGATGTCTGTTGGATTATGTTTCAATTAAGCATTTTGTGTTCTATTTTTATATGCTAGAAAGCAGAGGAGAAGGAACGGAAGCAGAACAGAATTTGAAGCCAATTATTTATTATCATTTGTTTATTTTGTTTTATTAGGTTCTGCTCTTCACACATTCCGCTTTGAGGCCAATTTGTTTAGCAAGTGACGCACGAAATCATATTGATAGATGATTAGAGGAGGAATAAAAGTTTATAAACCTCATATCCCAAATATAAGAGGTAGTTATTAGAAGTTTGAGTTTGGATCTAAGTATATAAGATGTCAATCTATTTTGTACTTCATACTTATTACTATTTTTTTAAAATATCACTATTAATTATATATGTTAAGGGAGTTTGAATCAAGGAGTAGCTTCAATGCTAATGATTTAAGAAAGTATTTTAGGCAACCCGACACATATTATTTATAAATAATTAATTTAAACTATTTTTTTAATTCATTCAAATTAATTAAGTAGATTTTATACTGGGGACTGGATATAGTCATATTCATTACTTAAGTATAATGAAGGCCACTGATTACTTATTATATATTTATGCCATCCTTAATTTCACAAATATTGAAAGATGAATGAAGTTTTTCACTTCATGAGGAGTCAAAATGGCTATAAAACTGATGAAACAATAAATCCCCAAAAACTGCAAATTGTAATTGCTGATTATGAAAGAAACCATTCATGCGTACTCTGGATGTGCTAAAACGACTAGTTTGAATTTGCGTCTACTACCTCCTCGACAACCGTGTTCTTCTATTTCCCAGTCCTCCCTTTACTCGGTCGCTCTTTACCTCTAAAGTCCAACCTCCTCTCATGCACACGGCATATATGTTTACTTCCTTTAGGCCGGATTCACTACACACGCGCACACACACACACACACACTTCCTCATCTGTAACATAAGAGGTTGGTCAGAGAAAAAAAAATTGTGATTCAAAATATCAGATGTTGTCAGGATAATTAATGTAATTTTTTAACTTTAGCTCCTATTAAATATAGGAAAGAGATGAGAGAGAAGAAAGATAATAAAAGTGTAATATTAATGACAATTTTATCATTTTTGCACTTTCGCCCCTAATAATGGTAAGCTTCATTGCTTGAATTTTTATTTTTATTATCATGACAGGGTAATTTTTTTATTATACGGTAGTTTCAAATTACAATAAAATAATTTTACTAAATTCAACACAATACTAATAAATATACACTACTTTCAATTTTCAGTCATATTCCATTATTTTTCTTAATTTTATGTTTCTAGAAATATATATATTACTTTCACTTTTCGACCATGTCTTTGTTTATTTTGGAGGGAATATTATAACATATGGAAAGGAACAAAATATTCAAAAGGAAAGAATGGATCAGTGGATGCTATGTGATTTGGGTTCACCATAAATTCAACATATTATATGTGCAATTTTTTTAAATGACTGCAGTCTACACCCAGGCTATTTATTTAATTACCTAATTTAATATTTAAATAATCACAATAAATATTTCACATTTTCCACAACAAATTTATCTTATTTTTAAAATTTGTTTCAGTTATTGGATGTAGCCTTTGTCCTAAAATTGTTGGCCAGAATGAAGCATGTTTCGAAGAGTCCAGTTACAATAACAAAAGTGAAGCCACTATAATATGAAGTATAAAATATCTATGTTTAAAAAGGCCCTTAAAATAGCCCATCTTATCTCATGTTAACAATTGGCCCAAACCCACATCAATTTAGTCGATATTTGACAACCTTCAAAAATACTTTTTAGAGGTATTTTTTCATAAAACGAAACAAATTTCTTTACGTATTTATTTCATAAACTGTAAAAACACTTTTGAAACCATAATTTGATTTTCATCTAAACACTCCTAAGTAAACTCAAATGGAGCATTAACTTTAATCTTTTGGGTCACAATTTAGAGATTCTAGAAAGAAGAAATAATAGAGAGAAAAGGGAAGAATAACTCAAAAGAATAAAATTTAGAGAGGAAAATTTAACTATTTAACCAAAGCAAAGACAAATTCTATTTATTTATTTTGAAGGTGGAATTGGAATTATATTTTAGGATACAACTTCCAACATCTTCTTGTGGAGGAGGTGCAGGTGTCATTGGGCCAAGAGCCCATTAGCTAAAAAACTATATCTATTTGATTAAATATAAAGATAGTTATTTTAAAGTATTATATATATAATTGTTTTAATAATTATTCACAACGGTTGCTGAATGGATTTTTTTGTTAAAATTTCAATTAAAATTTTACCTTCATTAAATATGTATTTACTTACTTAATGTTTTAGCATCAAGTTGACTTGGTTTTGTCCTATATTTATCTCATTAAAATAAACAGTAATACACTAACAGTAGTTGTAAAACATTACTTTCAAGACCCAAGTTTGTTTGCTGAGGGCAATCAAAATTTTTATTTTATATATTTTTATCAGAAATTAATATTTTTGAAAAGTATATTAGCTACTGTTAATTGATTAAAAATATTTGTTCCGTGTTTAAGATTTTATATTAAAATTATGATAAACTTTTTTCTATGGACGGATAGTTGGCATTTGGCAATTGAACATAGGAAACTATCTCAAAATTTCTCCAACCTGGAGAGACTATTGGCTTGTTTGGTTTCTTGTTTTGAAAACAATTTTTTACTTTTAAAGACAAAAAAACTTGTTTGGTAATTTGTTTTTAGTTAATTGTTTTAAAAAATAAAAAAACAAAAATATGTTTTTAAAAACTGAAAAACCAAAACAACTTTTACATGTTTTCTTGTTTTTGTTTTTGTGTTTTTTATTTTTTTTTTTGTTTTGAAAAATTGGAGAAATCTTTTTTTGTTCTCCTCTATTACTTATTATTTATTACTACCAGTGATAACTACCATTTGTCAAAGTGTAATTTTTTGTATTTTTTTCAAATGTGATTTTTTTAAAATTATTTTCCAAACAAATTTTTTTGTTTTTGTTTCTAAAACTTGTTCTTAAAAACAATTTTATAAAATTGTTTTGAGAATAAGAAAACAAAAAAAAAAAAACAAACAGGCCCTACATAATTTTGACAAAACTTGCTTCTGCTCAAATATGCCCTAAGTATATATGTCAATGTCTTGGAAAGAGAGTGTTGTAAAATATAAAACACATGAAGGTAGATCAAAGTATGAGGAAGTCGTTTGATTTCCAAATTAAAGGTAATATTTTGTTTGCAGAAGCCTCCTTACAACAGGCAAACTCGATTCGACAATGCTTGGATGCTTTCTGTTCCAGCTCTGGTTTGAAGGTTAATTATTCCAAGACTCGTATCTTCTTTTCAACAAACATTAACCACAACAGGTGCACTGAGATTAGCTCTCACATGGGCTTCACTCAAACGACGGACTTGGGGAAGTACTTGGGAGTTCCCCTCCATCACAAGAAAGTGAATCAAGATACTTTCAGGGGGACAGTGGATAAAGTAAAATAAAGGCTAGCCAACTGGAAGACTAGTTCTTTGTCTCTTGCAGGAAGAACTACATTAATAAATTCGGTCACTTCAGCCATCCCAAGCTATGCCATGCAAACGAATCTTCTTCCGGCACCTTTGTGTGAAAATCTGGATAAACTTAATCGAGGATTTCTTTGGGGGTCTACAGAGCAGCAACGGAAAATTTCTCTGGTATCATGGGATGCTATTTGTACTCCCAGGTCTAAAGGCGGGCTAGGACTGAGACATGCAAAACTACAAGTCCGTGGCTCATGAACCTTCACACGAGGTTTTATCCACACAATCCATGAGGGCGACACGTTACATGCGGAGTTGTAGGCGTGTTTGCATGGATTGAAGCTAGCATGGGACGTCGCTCATCGAAGAGTGATCTTAGAGTCAGATGCAAGTGAAGCTGTAGAGCTGATACGTAATGAACCTGACGAGCTGCATGCAGATTATTCAATTATTAAAGAAATACGCCAGCTTTTAGGTAGAGACTGGGAGGTTCAAATAGCCCTCGTGAGCAAAGGGGCTAATAAGGCCGTAGATCTTTTGGCTAAGAAGGGACTTGGGTTTCCGAGAGGATTTCATTACATTGGTTAAGCACCAAACGAGATGCAGCACACTCTCAATGCTGATCGTAATCGTAGTAGGCATGTAGCCACTCTGTAAGGTGTACCCCATTATTATCAACAACAACAAAAAAGCAAGAAAAACAGCAACAAAAAATCCCCTAAATATGCAAATCTCAATTCATGATTCCGAGATATCCTAATCATCACTGTGAAGTTCTTAAAGATTAACTTGAAATTAAATTTAGTAGCAAAGTTATCTAAAAGCTCTTTTAATTTGAAGAAAAAGAAATGAAAATGAATATTTTAATAAGCAACCATTTTAATATGCCAAATGATAGCAACAAATATGACGTTGATCTAATTTCAATAAAATTATATTTCCTGATGAATATCAATGACAGTACTTTGATAACTAACAAAACTATACTATCAATGATAATAGAAACTAATTTTACACAGAGCAATCAAGTCATTTTTTACACACACACGCAAAAAAACTTCAGTGCAGAATATTCTCTAAACATCTCATAAAAATTAATTTATTTTCGAGGAACCATCTCAAGATTCTCAGACTTCGATGTTGTGTCTCTTTCTCTTGTTTGTAAAATGTATTTCTTCATTAAGCAACAGTAGGAACATTAGTTTAACCGAAAAAATAGTACGAACATTAAAAACTGACTGATCAAATTTGTTCAAAACCAGTAATAGATCATATAAAGGAGATAATAATATGAAAGCATGTTCCTTCCCTTATATAACAAATACTACCCAAAAAAAATCAAATTAGCGACAAAATTTAGTAACAGAATTTTTGTCACTAATCAAAGTTAGTGACGGAATTTAATTAGTGACAGAGTTTTTTCCGTCAATAATTCCACCCTCACTAAATAATTAGTGACAAAATTCAAAATTCTGTCATTAATTAGCGACGGATTATTGATTGATTAATGACGGAAATTAGTGATGAAAATTTTTCATCACTAGTCTGATGCTAATTAGTTATGGATATCCCACAAAAATGTCCATCTGTGTGTTTCGTCACGTCATCACCGGCTGTCACCTCAACTCCTCTCTCCCATATAACGACATCATCTCATCATCCACATCATCATCACATGTCCATCATTATGAGCCACCACATTACAAATTGGCTCGATTTGTGAAGGGGTATTGGTTTGGTCTTCAGACCTCCTGCATGCGTGCTGAAACCTTTGCCAGTTCAGCTAAAAAGCACTTGTGAAATTTTTATACAAAACTAAATATATTTAATATTTCTAATAAAAAATACAAATATATAAAATAAATATTACATACATAATTTAATATATATTATATAATTTAATAGATTATTATTTATTTGAATTTAATTTTCATATTTTAGTAAAAATTTCTAATAATTTATATTTTTATTCAAATATTTAACAAAATAATAAGTATATTATATATTTTTATTTTTATTTTCTTTTATAATATTTGTTTTTTATATAATATATTATTTAAAAATTATGATATATTATTTTTATTTTAATAATAAGCTTAAAAATAATTACTATATATTTATATTATGTTTTTTCTGACAGAAATTAGTAATGGAAAAATTTCATCACTAATTTCCATCACAAAATGTTTTGTGATGGGAGTTAATGACAGATTAGTGACAGAAATTAGCAGCAAAAAAATTTCGTGGCTAATTTTCATCACTAATCATTTAAAGTAAAATCAATGATACTGTCGCTAATTCTATCACTAATCATTTAAAGTAGAATCAGCCACGGACTTGTAACAAAATTTAGTGACGGAATAAAATTTCGTCGCTAATCTGTTACTAATTTAGTAACGGAATAAAATTTTATCACTAATCCATAACTCATTTAGGGACAGAAATTTTCCATCACTAAATTCTGTAGCTAATTTTAGTGACAAAATTCTGTCGCTAAATTCCTTCACTAATCTCTTTTTTTTTGGCAGTAGAACATCATTTGCCCTGCCACAAACCATGCGATTAACGCATATATTATCACAGAATAAATTATGTGAAATTGAAACTCATTCTTCTAACATCAGCCTCTCATATTTTTCCATTCCATTCCCAATCGAGCCAAGTTCATGCTAGAACTTCCTTCTTGTTTCAGTTCTTCAACAGCATCATGTTGCAGAACTTCCATTGCTGCGCGAATTCTCATTCCTTCATCACCAATCATCACTCTCTTTATCACCTTCGTAATCTCTTCCCTTCCCACTATTCCATTCTCATTGACCCTTAACCTCACTGATACATTTAGGCCATCGCTTAGAATAGCAGCATTCATTCTCTGCTCAGCAAACAACGGCCAAGCTATAATGGGCAAGCCATGCAAAACACTCTCAAGTATGGAGAACCAGCCACACTGTGTTAAGAAAGCACCAATGGCTTTATGACTAAGAATCTCAACTTGGGGTGCCCAGCAAGAAACCAACATGCCTTGTCCACCAGCTTTAACGACCCTCTCTACAAACCCATTCGGTAAAAACTGTAAAGGATCTACTTTTGAACCAGCGAAGTAATTAGCACTTGCTAAATCATTTGGTTCTCTCACAACCCATAGAAATTTTTGACCACTCAATTCTAACCCTAATGCTAGCTCATTCATTTGGTTCTGAGATAACGTCCCACCACTTCCAAAAGAGACATATAACACAGAGCTAGGTTCTTGTTTATTCAGCCACCTTAAAAACTCAAAATCGTCATGATTGATCACATGATTGCTACTAACCCAGCAACCCACTTGATTCACATTAGGTCCTACAGGATATATACAAGGATATTTATTAGTTTGTTCTTGCAGTAAGGCTGTTATTGCTCCTCCTTCTAATCCTTCGAAGCTGTTCACCAAGATACCGTCGGCGAGATGTAATGCTTTAGAACGATGAAGAAAGTTACTATAATCTTGGCTGGATCGATGTTGAAGCGAATTTGGTAGATCTCGACCGTGAATTGGGATACAACCTGGGATCTTTATGGGTTCCGAAAGCTCTCTGAATTCGCATGAAACTAACTGGTCGAGCCACGACGAATGTAGACATAGAGAAAGAACCGAAGCTGACAAGGGGAAATATATGTATGACAATATGTTAAATGTTTTGGCTAATTCTAAAGTCTCGTAGGCTAAGTAATCAGCGATTAAAGCAACAAGCTTATTGGTTGAGTTTAGTGAGTTCAAAGCATCACGAATAGATGGAATAGATTGAGACATTGTGAGAGGAACTTGAAGAGCAGGATGAACATTGGAGCCTTGTGGGAATGTGACAGGAGGAAGAAGAATGGTGTGAATGTTGAAAGAGGAGAAAGAATCAATGAGGGATTTGGAGGCATTAGAGAGAGAGTTTAGAATTGGAACTATGAAGGTGATATGAAGGTGTGGATTGAGTTGAAGGAGGCGTTTGCATAAGGCCAAGGTTGATGCTTGATGGCTGAAAGCAGGTATTGAAATTACTGCAATGTGAGCTTTGGGCTTCATGGGAAACACTCAGTGCAAGAATTGAAACTTCCTCTCTTGATTTTTTATAGGGTCCTTAATTATCATAAGATTAGCAATTATTGAAGAATCTAATCGCGTGTACCCAAAATTACATTAAGAAAGTTACACTTGCAAATGGGAAATGGGGTTCATGACTACGATCCCTTCATTAAAAAAATCAATTAATTGAAAATAGTTTCATATAAATTGATTTCACTATGACAGCCAGGCTACAACCTAGCATACCTTTGATATTATGGTCAATGATCTCTAATTACTCCGTGAGATAAGCCTACTTGAGGTATATAATATATTACCTCTCTGAACCCATTTATAAGAAACCGGAGGTGCTGTATAAATTATATTGAAGTAAATGTGATGCATCCAACTTGGATGCTCGTATGATCTGTCTATGATATATTTTAAGAATTTTTTTAAATGTGTTCTTTTCTTTTCATGTTTTTTTCTTTGGCCTTCTTTCACATTCTCATCGCTTAATCTTATATTGCCATTGTTAAATGCACAACGTTGTAAAGTCATTGATAATAGATAATCATAGATTAACAGCTGTTTAAGACTCCAATCACATGTTTCTCAAATAATATTAAGAAAGTTGCACTCTCATGTGTGATTACGATCACGTCTCCATCGTGCATCTTAACTACGGGGACATCAAGCCTAAAGTATTATTATTCTTTTCTATTATGAGCAAATTAAATGAGTAAGAGTTAGCCAGAAATTGTATGGATTTTTTGTGCATGATTTATGGTCCAAAATCCAAACAGATAGGAGGAGACTAAGGTTTAAGGGACGAGAGTATACAATTACAACAAAATATTAATATATTTAAAAAAAATTGAAGTATTATTTATCTTATATAACAATACTAAACTTACAAATCAATCGGTAAATTAGCCATTTAATGCTTTATCAGACTAAAAAAAAAAATTGAGTCAGGGCTTTATACATTAACCACCTCTCTTAAGACTTTTTTAAGTGTGAATTTGAACTCTCTATTAAGGATATAATAGGTGCGAGTTATAAAAAGGGGAAAAAAAAAAACAATGCCCAGCTAGTTGGCTTGAATTAAACTCCTTCTCTATTGGTTGCCGCCAAGCAAAGAATAGGATACCTACCCCTTACATACATACATATTTATATATACATAAATATATATATATATATATATATATTCAGTTTCCCACTTGCTTAACGTTGACCTTTCAAAACCCTTGTTTAAAAAATTTCATAGTATCGTTTCTCACATGTGCTTTCATTTATTTTCACATGAAATCGCGTGCACTACTTGTTAATTATGTTGAATTATCAATTATGAATTTACATTCGAATGCTGTGGTAATTACATGAAAAGCAAAAGATGATTATAGTGTGAGATCTATGCAGGAGGGAAGAAGGCTATGCGTTTTCCATGGAAAACAAAGCTCACATTGCTGTAGTTTCAATTCCAGCTTTCAGCCATCAAGTTTCCATACTATCACTATGCAAACGCCTCCTTCAACTTCATCCAAACCTCCATATCACCTTCATACTTCCAGTTCTTAACTCTCTTTCAAATGCCTCCAAATCCCTCATTGATTCTCTTCCTTCTTTCAACATTCACACCGTTCTTCTTCCTCCTGTCACCTTCCCACAAGGCTCCAATATTCATCCTGCTCTTCAAGTTCCTCTAGCTATGTCTCAGTCTGTTTCATCCATTCGCCATGCTTTGAACTCGCTCAACTCAACCAGTAATAATAAGCTCGTTGCTTTGATCGCTGATTACTTAGCCTATGAGACGTTAGGATTAGCCAAATCACTTAATATATTGTCCTACATATATTTCCCCTCATCAGCCACGGTTCTTTCTCTGTGTTTGCATTCCTCGTGGCTTCACCAAACAGTTTCATGCGAATACACACAGCTTCTAGAACCCATCAAGATCCCAGGTTGTATACCAATTCATGGTCGAGATCTCCCAACTTCACTTCAAGATCGATCTAGCCAAGTTTATGAGCATTTCCTTCGGCGATCCAAGGGGTTATATCTTGCCAGTGGCATCTTGGTGAATAGCTTCAAAGAATTAGAAGAAGGAGCAATAACAGCCTTGCAAGAACAAAGGAAAAACTATGTAAGCGAATCAACAGCATCCAACTATGTAAGCGAATCAACATCATCCATAGCTAATAAATTCCCTTCTGTATATCCCATAGGACCTATTGTCCAAGCCGATTGGGTGAGCAGCAATCATGTGAATCACGATGATTCAGAGTGTTTAAGGTGGTTGGATAAACAAGAACCTAAGTCTGTATTGTATGTTTCTTTTGGAAGTGGTGGGACATTGTCTCAAAACCAAATGAATGAGCTAGCACTAGGATTGGAGCTGAGTGGTCAAAAATTTCTGTGGGTTGTAAGAGAACCAAATGACTTACCAAGTGCTAATTATTTCACTGGATCATCAAAACATGACAACACTTTGCGATTCTTACCAAATGGCTTTATGGAGAGGATGAAAGGGAAAGGCTTGGCGGTTCCATGTTGGGTACCCCAAGTTGAGATTCTTAGACACAAAGCCACAGGTGGCTTTTTAACTCATTGTGGTTGGAACTCAACACTTGAGGCTGTCGTCCATGGCTTGCCGATCATAGCTTGGCCACTGTTTGCTGAGCAGAGAACAATCGCTTTGATGCTTAGCGATGGCTTGAATGTGGCAGTGAGGCCAAAGGTTAATGAGAACGGAATAGCGGAAAGGGAAGAGATTGCGATGGTGATAAAGAGAGTGATGATTGGTGACGAAGGAACAAGAATTCGTGCAACAATGGAAGTTCTGCAACATGCTTCTTCTGATGCACTGAAACAAGATGGAAGTTCTAGCATGATCCTGTCACAATTGGCAATGGAATGGAAAAATATAGGAGCGTGATGTCAGAACTTAGAATGAGTTTCAGTTTCAATTTTTTTTATTAAATGATAAGATTAATTATGTGATTTATAAATGTGATTCAAGTTATTAAAGAACTCGACGAATACTGAATCATCCTGCAACAATCCATGTTTGAATATTAATTTACTTTATGCAAAACCAACTTCGGTTATTACATTGATGGATTAGTTTGGAGTGCTAAAACCATGTTGAAATTTTTAATTTTATTATTTTTATTTTTTGGCTTTTTGGGCGACCAAGCAACATTCAACTTCCATTCAACTGAGTAAAAACAGTAAATGGGCACAGATCGAAGTCAAAGAAAGAATCATAAAGACCATAACATAAGAGGATTTATATATGCATGCTAGACTAATGGCCTGCTTTCTTCATCTTCTCCGACATCCTCAGAAGAATGGACCCTTAATTCTTGTTCATTACCATGTGGCTTTGTCACAACGGCAGTGGAAGGAGAGGTTGAGGCTCTCTTATTGGAAGGCTTGTTATCATAAGAAGGCACCATCTTCAATATGATTCCCATGGCTATAAGTAAGAGGCCACTTCCATGTTGCTCTGTTATTGGCTTTGTGAATATCATGTATGATAGTAGCAACGTCATCGCCTTTCTTGCTGTTGTTATCTGTGAGAACAAGATTATTAATGAAACACAGAAAGAAAGGATCCAACAATATCATTAAATGACAAGGGAATATGTATCTTATGATAAAAGCACTCTTGCTAGGAGTCATACATAAAAAGCCAATAGATAGTTTACATGAGCATGTCAATATGCCAAATTTAGATTAGTTTTCACTGGTCCAGTGTACCATCAGCTTATAAATTTTAGATGTTCGCAGTACAAAACAATTCATCTACAACTCTGAATATCTGGCTATCTCTCTCTGTATAAGAGAGAGAATAAAGTTGAAGTCCATATAGCACGAGGCTTCTAAATTGATTTGCAAGTGATTTATAGAAAGTGATATGGAGAGAAGACAAAAAGTATGCTGGAAAAAAAAAAAGAAAAAAAGAGCCAAAAAGTAAACTGTTTGAATTACGCCACCAAGATGGAGAGAGAATCAGTGCATCTGTACTGCACTTAACCCAACTTGGCCTAATCTTGTAGGCATGAGCCCATCTCCTTCCTTAGATCTTTTAAAAGCCCAATATCATATTAATTAACATACTACTCCCAATATCTGCACTGAACTTAGCCCAATTCGGCCCAATCAGTGCCTCACCCTTCTCCTTCCTTGGATCCTTACAAGCCCAATAACTATTTGAAATTCACATAGGCACCCAACAATTTCAAGTGCCAACCATCTTCATTTTTTAAATCATATTGCAATCAAATTTATATGGTAGCAGAAAACTCAAATATTGATCGTTTTATGACAATTAACCCTAAGGCATTTGTATGTTCACATGCCAAGTGCCAATGTTAAGGTAACATGTGAGTTTCTAATTCTTTTTTTTTTTTTTAACCAAAATGTGAGTTTCTAATTCTAGGAGCTAAAATTCAGACCATGGTCGAAGATGACATTATGGAGGCAGCAAAAAGCTTGTGAGAGCAACTTACCATGGCTGTGGTGGCGGCACCAAAAATGGCAATAAGGGAAAGCACAGAGACTTGGCCGATATATGTGGCCATCGCTTCAAACACTAGCACACCATACACATATAGATGCTGAAAGTAGAAGAAAAGATCATTCCCCATTGGAAAAAGCAAAAAGTGAAGTCTAGAAAAAGATCTGTTTATTCTAAATTTACCTGAGAGCATGAACTCCAAGCTTTGAATAATTCTCCTGTGAAAAGCATGGGTGGGATTAAAAAAGGTAATCCCACTACAGTAGAGCAGAAAAGCATCTCCATCTATGTCAAACATGAACAAGTAAGGTATTTCATATGCTTTTCAAAAGACTTTAATACCAGCGTGAGTATGTGAGTGTGTGTAGTTAAAGTCATAACGATAACATGATTTCCTTTTCCTTCACCTGTGTAGTTTCAGGGTTCATAGTAAAGATTGCTTCTTGCAAATTTCCCAGAAAAGAGTCCATGACCAAAGCTCCAGATATCATCATAATGCCAATGACGCTGAAATTTGGAGATGTTTGCGCATCTGCTAGCGTGAAAAGGATCAAACCCACAACCAAGAGTACTGCAGATACATATTCATGAAATGGATATTTTCGTCTCAGGCCTGGTATGAAAGCACCCATTATCATCACGGGCAGAACCTAATGTACCAAAGTGGGATCACATTACATTTCAATATTTTGTAGCTACACAGCTAGGGGATAAGTAGGAGAAAGAATCATGACAACAATCTCAGGAAAAGGAACAGATAATTTAGATTTATGAGGCTATAAACTATTTATTAGATTCAATATCAAACACACAGTTCTCAGATTCTCTGTAACTCAGTAATTGCATCAAACATATTTTAGGTGTTTCAGTTTTAAACCATGTCTAATAAAGAACAGATAATCGAGATTCTGGAGGCACTAAACTATATATCAAATTCAATATAAAACAATAAACTAAAAGGGAGAATTTGATTCTCTGTAACTTGGTAATTACATCAAACACCTTCAAGGTGTTTCAGTTTCGACCTTAATCTGTCAAGAAAGTTTCCTTCTGAATTGGGTAAAGTGACAAAAAAGATCTTCTTTGCATGTGGTCATGTCAGTTACCTTTGTGGATTTAAACATGATCTGTGCAGGGTAGTTCAGAAAAGCCAGTGACCCCTTTGTGAGGCCATGGGAAGCCATCAGTACAGCAGAAAGCTTCACATAGGTTTTCCATGGATTCACCATTTGCTTGCTTGTGAAGCCTTGCAGGTAAATTAGAAACAAGTAAACAAATCCTTGAACAAACGTGAAGTACCAGCCATAGCTGAAATGAAACCAGAAACCAAACCACTTCTTGAGTTGATTTTTTAATAAGTATATAGAGGCCCTCAATTAAAGCTAAAAATCATGAATAACTGACAAAAGAAATATACATCATTTGAAATTTACCTGAATTGTAACCTGTTATATACATATTCCTGAAAATAAGGCAGATGAAAAGGCTTTATTTGGTTTTGGCACATATCAAAATTTTGAATATACTCTAAATGCCAGGAACAAGGACAAAGGGAAAATGTTGAATCCGAAGACGAATTTTGCAAATGCAATGAAATCTTGGGAAGAAAACTCAAAGAAAAATGTTGAAAAAGAGGGGGGGAAAGGACTTTTTAAGTAAACAACAATCACATATGACCATTACTATAGACAGAAAGAAGCAAGAAACTCAAATTTGGTTTACTTTCTTCCAATATATTGTTCAAATTCCAAAGTTCTATGATGGTATTACGGAAAAGAAGCCAGAAAATGAAGAACCAGAGGAAACAGAGCATGTAACTAATTCACCTCACAGATTCCGTTAACGAGATAACCAAAGAAAAACCCAGAAGAACAAATGAGGAATTGTTGCCATCTGGGTCTGTCCGACAGAGAAATTCCAAACAAACTACGGGCCTGTTCTTCCTTCTTCATCAGTCCCTAGCTACCTGAGTACAGTTCTCGAAAACCCAAAATCAATAATCCCAAAAATGTGCATGGAAGGGGTAATTTAAAGGATTGATTTCTTCTCGAATTAGAAATTTCAAAATATTCAAACACAAAATGACAATAAAAACCGCTGGAAATCAAAAGTTTATCAAACAAGAGGATGAAGAGTAGCCGGACTCATTTGCATGTCGGCTTTGCGAACCCAGAGAAAACAGGGGGGGAAAAAAAGGCTTACTCGAAATGGAAAATGAAAAGGCTATATGGGTCTTGATCAGTTGTGCCTAGAATGAAGCATACTTCCATGCAAGGAAGGTTTAGAGAGAGCAAAATGGTCACTCTCCAGACTATCTAACAAACACGAATTCTCTCAGGTTGGAATGATTATAAAACTGATGGTTTTCTTGGAAACGCTCTCTTTCTGAGAAAAGTATTTAATAATAGCACAAGAAAGAAGCTCGAAGCAGCCTTGCACGGCATTTATATCGTGTGGTCTCCGAGCACACTTTCAAGAACCTCTCCATTACTCACTATGCCTACGCTCAAATTGCTATGCGCGCTGCTGAGACGGGGGAAGTAGGCAAGTAGCAGACTTCCCAAATAATGGCTATGGGACATTTTATTTGAGTTTCTTAGCTTTAATTAAGAATTAGAATATTTAAATTAGAATTGACTGCATTTAAATATAAGAAAGACACATTATTCATGATTTGAAAATGGTGTAAAATAAATTTTATATTTTATATTAATAATTTTTATCTAAATTTAATATTTATTTATTTTGAAAGAATTAAGATATAAGGCAATATACATTTTAAATTATTTATCTAATAAAAATGATTAAAATTAAAAATTAAAGTATCTAATTAAATTTAACTAACTCAAACAGAACACACAACACATGCATGTATATTAAATTTGAGATCACAAAACTATGTAGGCAATTGGGACTTTTTATAATTTTATAAATAAGAGTAGGGCTCATAAATTAGAGTAAGTGACTTATAAACTTAATAAACTTATTAAGACTTATTGAAAGATTTTAATAAACTTATTAAGATTTATTGAAACATTTCTTTTTTCCCTCTTGGAAATTGTAGTGACGTAATCATCATAGTCATCAATATAAAATGTGCAGTATAAATAAAATGATAAAAAATATATATGTTGAATTTCAAAATTAGAAATAGGTTATACTAACTAGTCTTGTAATGGTTTTTACTACTTCTGTAATGGTATTAACTAAGGCTATTCATGGAATGAAATAGGATTGGAACCAACCTGTCCGAATGAATAGGGACAAGGAGGGGTTTTTGTCCCGTGTCCCATTTCCCTTTTAAAAAAACACATTATAATTTTTTCTATGAATTTTTTTATATTATAACATTTGTTTTTCAATGAGCTTCTAAAAATAATAACATTATTAAACAATATTATGTAGAAAGCTTAACCGTATAATATAAAAAAAGGATAAAAACAATAGTGTAAAAAAATTACCATAAAAGAAACGCTATATAATGGTTTTATGAATTATTTTATTATAAAAAGAGATTCGTTAAGATAACACTATAACTTAAGAGATGAAAATCATCAAAAATAATAATAATTATTATAATCATTAATAAGTTAATTGAATAATCTAATTATTATTATTAATAAATAATTTTTGAAAAAAATACTCTAGAATGGGATGGCGACGACCCCATCTCACATCCCGTCCTGTCCTAGTTATTGTTCTGTCTCGTCTAGAAATTTTTTTTATTAATACTAAGACGGAATAAGTTGAACACCTCTAGTTTTGACATGTTAAAATCTATTAAAATCATCATTTTGAAATTTCATGGCTATTTTTTTGTCATCTTTCCAAATTTTATTTTTATCAACACATTTTATTTGTTTACTGCGGTCCATTTCTCAAATGTTTAATAATGCAAACAAAAACCATCCAACTCAACCAAAAAAAAATTTGGTTAAATGTCTTTTTTATAGTGTGCTCTGCCCACAAGTAAAGTTTAACCAATCTTTTAGGAGTCAAAATTCTAAAAAATTTGGCAGTGTAGGCCACAAAATAATCAAATACCACGACTTCCGGTAATTTGCTCATTTATTTGGGTTGAGTAATTGGGCGATTGCATCTTCCCAATGTAATTGTTTATGGAAAAAGTCTAAAATGAAACGATGCCGGGAAGATTGGAAAAAGCAAGAAGAGCAAAAAAAAAAAAAAAAAAGACAGAGAGATGTAAAGGACAAACGGTAATGGATTTCTGTGTATACCATCAAACGAAGTCTACTTCTTAGCTCTCATTCTTAATAGTTAATATACTTCTCTAGCCCTATTTATAAAACATAAATAGAAGACATTTTTTACTCTTATTTATAAAATATCGAGAGAAATTTTTTTATAAAGATGTACAATTTTACCCTTCATTTATTATTATATTGACTTTATTTATATGAGGTATAATATATATTAAATAGGGATAAAGTTGAAAAATTATTGAATTTTAAATGAGAGTTAACGAAGTTTAAAACTTTTTTTTGGTCTGTGTGAAACATGTTGGAAGTAACTTATAAATAAAATCAGAGGAGTAAAATTTAGATAACTAATTTACAGATATTAAAAAAATTAGTTAAGTTAGTTATTTATAATAAATTGATGTTGTATTCCCTAAGATATTCTTGTTGGTCATATACATTAGAACTATCATTTCATGAAACTTCTTAACATACACAATTACTGTATGAATTATTTTGGGACAAAACAGATAAATATTGAAAACAAAATTAATTAAAATCTTATATTTAGAATCAAATCGAATCACTAACTATGTCTTATATTAAAGTCAAAGGTAATATGATGTCACTAAACCATACGATTGCATTGATCGTGCACTAGATGAAGTGTATGTTTGATTACTAAGCTTAAGTTGCTTGTGCACATCACATCTCTAATCTAAGCATGGCGTCAAGTTTTGAGTGTGGGAGATATCAATGCATGGTAGTAGGATTGCATATTTTGTTCATAGTTGTTGATGTCTTAAAGGTGGAGTTAAGCATTTTGAGCAAGAAAAGAGCGGAGTTCTTGGAGGTAAAAATCAAGTCATCATGTTCGAATCTAACAGTCATGATATATAGGATTAAGTGTTTTAACGCCGAATTAACGGGAAAAACTACTAAGAATTACGTGTTTAAAAATTAGGTAAAGATGCACCCAACACACTGAAAATTTTTTGAAGGTGCACTTAAAACCCTAAAAAAATTAGTAATGTAATTTTGCCTCCAACATATTAAAAGCGGATTAATTTTACACGTCACTGACATGTTAACAAATGGATGATTGCCTCCCTCTACAGATCACCTTTTCATTTTAATAATACAATGACTAAAATGCCACCCGTGCTTTTTGAAAGCTTCCATTGGTATGAGTCTTTGCCCAGGCCTCAGGTTCCTACTTTCTTCTGCAGAGCGACCACTACCGGGGAGAACTTGCCGACAAAAATGGTGGTGCGAGTCTTGGATGGAGCAATGAATGTCATCTTCGAAAGCTAGCCTTTCATCGTAAAGTGCACAGATTAAATTGTAATGTTATGTTTTTTTGGGGCATATCAAGCGCTAAACATCCGTTTGTTAATATGCTAATGAGGGTAAAATTGCTCCACTATTACTACCTCCGGTTCTAAATATAAGAACTAATTGACTTATTTGAATAGATTAAAGAAAGAAGTTAAGCTAGTTATTTGTAATAAATAGGTGTTGTCTTTCCTAAAATGTCCTTACTAATTAAGTGCATTGACTAGAACTACCATTATTACAAAGACTATGTTGAAGAAAAAAATGCATAAATATAAGAAACAAAGTGAATTGGGATCTTATATTTAGGACCAAAATAAAAGTTGAACGATGTTTTATATTAAGGACCGGAGGTAGTAATATATTAGCAGCAAAGTTATACTACTTTGGGAATGAGCAGAAGTGCTTTTTAAAAGCACTTTTTGACAAATCGAGATAAATTTCTCTACATATTTACTTTGTATACTGTAAAATCACTTCTGAAACCATAGTTTGGTTTATATCCAAACACCCGGAGTCAGGTGCACTTTTATCCTTGAAAATTTTTATTGACTAAAAAGATCTAAATTTAAGTAAATATAACTATTTTCAATGGATGTAATTTTTTTTTCCAATAGTAACTTGCAAATGAGTTCTGTTCTGATAACTTTAGTGTATAATTAAAGATATGTAACACATAATCAAAAAAAGTTACACTTATTAAAAATAGTTACACTCGCACAAATTAAGGTTGTTTTAGTCAATAAAACTTTTTCTGGTAAAAAAAAAAGTCAATAAAACTTTTAAACAGGTACTTTTTTACCAAATTAATATTTAATATTTATTTATTTCAAAATAATTAAGATACAAGGAAATATGCATTTTTAATTATTTCTTTAATAAAATAATAAATACAAAAATAATAAACTCTCCGATTTAATTTAATTGATTCACGCATAACGCACAACACGCACATGTATAGATTTGGGCTTCCTGTTTGGTTGGAGTTTATGATGACTTTATTATGGTTTGGGTTTTCATGGTTGTGTTTTTTGTTCCTGCACTGTTCGGGCCCAATGTTGTGCTACGTGTCGTTCGATCTTGTTTTAACAAAATTGTTTTTTAATAAAAAGAAACACGCATTTGTATATCAAATTTGAAATATCGTGGAAAATTGGAACTTTTTATAATTTTATAAATCATAGTAGGTCTTATAAATTAGAGTAGGCCCCATTCAATCAAGAATGATATATAAACTTAATTAGCATATTAAGATTTATTGAAACCTTTTTTAGTTTTTTTTTTTACAATGACATAATCATCAATATGAAATATGTGATATATATAAATTTATATCAAAATATGTTATGTGTAATTTATAAAGACTGTGGCTCTTTTTTCAAATTTTGGAAAACAAACCAACGAATTCAAAAAATTCAAAAAATTAAAAACATGTCTTTAGTTGAATTTTGGTAAATGTCTTTTTCTATAATGTGCTCTGCCTACAAGTAAAGTGAACCCCTTTTTTGGGAGTCAAAATTTAAAAAAGTTAGGAGTAT